TATTTACATTTTGGTCAAGAGTGATTATGCAACAGTATTAGCTTTTGAATATGGAGTTGGTAGTATTTTCTTCTTCCAGTGTGGTTGAAGTGAGAATGTGTGAGATGAAATGAATTGTTTAAGTTCAGATGATGTAGTATTTCAGTTGTAAGATACTTTCTGCTGTTATGGTTGAAGAGATCCTTCCAAACATTGGGTGTATGGTTCTATTTATAAATGACTATTTGCTTTTGGTTTCTGGTGTTAGTAAATAAAAAGTGGGGAAGTAGCGAGGGCTAATGTTGTATTGCACCGCAGAGACAAAACATATCTTGGAATATTTAAAGTAAGTTTGGATCATTACTTAAATAATAAAGATCATTTATCAAGTACTTCTCTGTGGTAATAATGGCTTAATCTTAATTAGGAAGTTGATGATAAAACAATTTTTCTCTGGTCTTCTGGTAGTCCAGTACTACTGCTACATAGTTGAAGTACAACAGCAACAGTATCTTGCCTTCTATACAATCCTGCCGTATTTTTGAAACTGAGTATTTTTTTAATATCAAAATAGTCTTAGAAATGTGATATATTTGTGTAAGAAAGTTGAATAGTGCTTGCAATGAGATTTCATCACTTGCCTTTTAATGCTCGTTGAACTAAATAGAGACTCTGATTAGATGAAGAGGCTTCCTGTACTGTTCATAAATAGATTGGCTATGAAAAATATGTTAGTATGGGTTCTTCTGAAACAGGAGCTAGGAGGAGGGTGGCAATTTTGCTGTATTTGTAGCTGGAAATTTTGTAGATCAACAGACGAACTGAGCAAATTGTGGTATACACAAATTCTTGCACATCCCTTCAGTAAACTAAATCATTATGAACGTAGTGTTTATTTATTCAACGGTATTCCTCTGTGCAGAACTTTGTTATGTCAAAAAAAAAGGAGGGGAAAAAAAACCCCAACCCATAATTGGACTTGCAACAAAAACACTGAAGCTCTTTGAATTTAATCTGAGAGAGACAACAAGGATTTAAAGCTGCAGTTATGTGGAGAGTTCTGTTAAGTCCTGCAGTGTTTGTTCTTGGTTAATGGTGAGAAGTGGAACTCATCAGAGCTTCCTCTGCGGTGTGAGGCCCTTGATACCGGGAGGCGTCTCTCCTTGTGCTTCATGGCAGGTTGTGTAGAGGGATTTTTCTCTCTGCTGGCAAGTTGTTTTTGCAACTTTAAAAAGTGTTGATGAAGATAAAAAAATAGAGTAAGGGGAAATGCATTTGGTATGTTACTTTATTAAAGTGATTTACCTGCTGGCCATATGGAAGTCACTGTGTATTTGAGGTGGTGTTGACCCTTGAACAGACTCCAGTACTGTAAAATGGTTCACTTGATCAAAGTAAAGTTTGGCAAGGAGCGGCTTGTGCTGTAATTGTGGCTGCCTTTTCAGGGTTATTTGCACAACTCTGGTTCCTTGAGACAGAGAATACAAGGAGAAGCTCAGAATATTTCAGGATGCAGATAAAACTAATATTTAGAATTATCTATCGGTTACTAATCAACTTTGGTTTATTTTTCCTTCAGGAATTTTAAATTCCATTTTCCTTTATGTTTAGAGATGTGGAGTGATTGGCACCATCTTAGTTTTTCATCTTGAGACTTCAAGGAAAAAGCCCTGTAGTTGGCCGTGTTTTCAAGCCTGCTTTGGATTGCCACCTGTGTCCAATAATGAACTATTGTTGTCTCTGACAGATTGTTGTGGGTGGTTTTTTTTTTGTTTGTTTTTTGTTTTTTACTTCAAAATTATTTTAAGACATTCTCCACTTTGCAGTTAAAGGAAGATGCTTGCACTGCAGTTGTCTGTGTCAGAAGAGAAGTGTGATGTTTTATCGTGTTGAAAAGATGGTGCTACTTAAGTCTTCCACTTGGAAGATACGCTCTCACCCTTGAGAAAGGAAAGAAATGCTGATACAGCTCCTTTATGGATACTTGACAAGTCTCTTGAAAAAAGTGGTGGTAATTCTATCATAAAAATCAGTGCTTTATGCTCAGGAGAGAGAGTCGAAGGAAATACATAGGTTGAGTACATGTGGGACTTTTAAAGAGTTGTTTCCTGACAGCAGTGTCTGTCTTGCAAGCTATGAGAAGGCTATTTTTAAAGAAGTGGAACATAAAAAATAATTTGGTTATAGCTGCGTTGCATTTAGTCACTACATATGCTGAGTTCTGTTAGCACAGTTGGAAAACAAAATGAACAGAAAGTGTTTTTCCGTCATGATTCTGTGCAGCTGAGATCTTGCATAACTGTAACCAGTGGTACCTTATGCTGGTGGTAAACCCAACTGGTAAATGTGACATGAGCAGAGTTCCCTGTCGTGGTGTCTCTTAATGATATTGGACTGTGCAAACGTTTCTTAGATGCTGCCGAAACATTCTTGTCCTCACTAAAAACAAGCAAAAAGAACTTGCGCCTTGACTTTTTTCCTTCAAGTTCTCCAAAATTTACTTGTAAACAACATCCAAGTTCTAATGAACAGGAGAGGGTAGGGATGTACTGCAAGTAAGATGAGAAGCAATGGAAAAAGCTGTGAAAATAACAGCTTTCTGGTTTAGGCTTCAGTTTCTTGTGTTTTTTGTACCTAACTCAAAAATTGAGCCTTTGAGAGCTGGGGCTAGTATAAGAATTATAAGAATAATCAGAAGTGGTTGGATTTTTATCTATCCTTGGAGGTCAGTGAATAAATTTTTTTTTTTAGGTATAGCCTATATCCTTTAGTTGATGGTCCCTAAAGAACACATAAAGATCTCTTGTACTCGGGTTGAGATGCCACTGCTTGTAATCTTTAGATTGCACTGGGAAAGTAATTAGTTTTCGTTCAAAATGAATAGATTATTTACTCTCTAAAGTGAATTTTGTATCAATAACAATAGAAAAAGCTCTCGAGCTTGCTACTGGGGAATTTCCTAGTCTCTAGAAATTTAAGACACTTCTTATTGAGTCCCTGTAGATGGTTGCTATCACTATTATCTGCAACTTCTCTGGCAATTGACAGGTTCATTGTAGTCTTCTCTACTGGAGTTTCATTGGATTCCCCTTGTGTGTTATCAGAATGATGGCAGCTGCTATAAGGAGGAAAGAAAATAGAATAATTTCCTACCTGGATGATCGGTTCATTCAGGAAATGCCTGAGAGATTCAAGCCACAGCCTGAATTGTATCAGCAAAAGCAATTTGTTTCTCTTTGGCTATTTCCATTGCTGGAAGCAGTAGTCAACAGGGACAAGAATATTGTAGTCTGAGATTTGTGTCAGAGTGAAGAAATTTTAAAATACACAGGATCACTGACTTCTTGCTGACTGCTTAAAAATCAAAGTAGTCTTTTTTTCCTTCTGTAATGTGGTTTCAGATGCTTAATGCATGAACATTCAATCTTCTTAGGTCCCTGACTTTCATGCTGTAGCATTCTACACAGTGGACTAAGTTCAAGTTGCACCAAATAGTAGCTTCCTGAAAATTTAGAAATTGGAAGTAGGTAAATCCAGCTTTATCTTGAATTGGTGAAGTAGGTAACTTGCCTAAAAGGTAACTTATTAACTTTGTATGTTGGATGCACCCTTCTTGAAATATCCTTCTTTCCTGAATATTTACAGAAAACCTATGATTATTGTTCAGTAGTAGCTGTAACTGCTCAGACTGCTGCTATTGAGCAAGATTATAAGTGACTTGCAAATACTTCAATCGGTGCAAATTCACTAGAGCCTTTCGAGACAAGGTACCAAAAATTCTAATGGATGTGCTGCTGGCTGTCACTCAGATGTATCCTGTGATTTGCCAGTCCAGATCATTTCAATTTGACTAACAGAAAGGATGTTTTAAGCAAACTCTTGGTTTTGAGTCAAAAGAATAAAGGGTATAACTGCACAGGGTCAGTATTCTCTACCTTTGATTTGACTTGAGGTATGGTAATAGTGTCTCATGGGGAATTAATGCAGACCTCAGTTGCAGGGTACTGGAGGGCACTTAGTGAGCTGCAGGTGGTGCTTTGTGGCCTGGGGGGGTTAAACCACCACATTAGGCAACTGCTTTGTGTGCTTGGCTGTGGTTTGAGGGTCCTGGCCCATAGGTTCAAGCTTGTGAATACCCTTTAACAGCAAGTCCAATGTTAAAAAAATTAAACTTGCATTGAATAATTAAAAAAAAAAAAAGTGGTTGATATTAACTGTATTGAATATATGATCAGGGAAGTAAAAATATGGGATTATCTCTTCCCTGCCTATTCCGAATGTGTGAAGGTGAGGAGTTATAAAATCCATCTCCACGTGTTCTGTTACTGGTAAAACAAGCATGAAAGGTCATATTTTTGATATGTAGAAAAGCAGATTTTGTTAGTGCGCTTCTAAATACTGTGGTTTGGTTTCAATTAATTAATTCCTGTAATCTGTGGATTACAGGTTAGCTCTATTTTTGGAAAAGCAGGGTAGGGGGAAGTCTTCCTAACAGATTGCCCTGGAGGTGGCAGATGGCATTCTTTACTGTGTACCAGCTTTGTAGGGCATCCGTTGCTAGTGGTGTTTAGATGTAAAACAATACGGCCGTTTGCTAAACTTTTCATTTGCTTTGAGGAAAAAGATTTGTAGACTCCTCTTTCTTGCACTTGTCCCTTTCTAAATGTGTTTTTTCACTTGCATGCTTCCTATTCAGCTTCAGGTGTAAAACAGTAGATGTTCTCAGTGAGCACTTTCTATCCAAGATATTTCTCTGGTGAACAAAAGAATTTTTTTTTTAAGGAGTTGCTTTTTGAAGCTGGAGATAGCTTCAGACATTTTATAGATACTTCATAAGTTATCATTTCTGTGAACTCTTCAAAAGACCGCCTGGTATTTTACCGTCTCGTGTTTTCCATACTGAATTGCTTTAAGATGTGGGGTTTGTTTTCTTTGTATTTAATTTTTATTTTCAGAAATTGAAAAGAATTTTGAATATTAACATGGGCTTTTCCCCTCTTTCTCCCCCCCACCCCTTCAAGAACCTTTTTAAAACGCTGGGGTTGTTGGAGTGGTTGAATTTTTCCTGGCTTTGAGTGAGAAATTCAGAAGACTGAAGCCCAGGCTCACTGTCTACCTTTCACGGAGGCCCAGCCGTGAGAGGACAGAAGAAGGCACGTGGCGAATCATGACAGCAGACAAAGAAAAAGACAAAGACAAAGAGAAGGACAGGGATAGAGACCGGGATAAGGAGCGAGACAAGAGAGACAAGGTGAGGGAGAGTGAGAACTCGCGTCCTCGACGGAGCTGTACGTTGGAAGGAGGTGCCAAGAATTATGCGGAAAGTGACCATAGTGAAGATGAGGACAATGACAACAACAGTGCCACCACAGAGGAGTCCACAAAGAAAAGCAAAAAGAAACCACCTAAGAAGAAGTCCCGATACGAGAGAACAGACAACGGTGAAATAACGTCCTTTATCACAGAGGATGATGTTGTATACAGGCCTGGAGGTAAGAAATTCTTATGTTTCCTTTGAAAATAAATGTGCACCAGAGCTACCAGTTAGTTGGCTGCAGCCTATCTGTTAATTTAAATTACAGTTGTCCTAGGGGCAGGTTGCCACGTTTCTATTGGAGACAAAGACTGGATATGCATACAAAAGCTTTTAACTGTATCTTGTAATATCTGATTTGTTGAAATGAACTTAGCTCCTCTTTGAAAAAGAGCCACCCTTTTTTCTTTCTTCTCCATTAATTATCTGTGTATTTTATGGAATCTCTGTCCCTGGGAGTTTGCAAACTAAATTGGATAAAGCACTGAGCATCTTGCTCCAACTCTGAAACGAGACCTCATCTGATCTAGAGATTTGACTAGGTGGCATACAGAGATATCTTCCAACCTTTCTGACAAGATTTTCTGTGAATCTGCTTTGTAGAGCTCCTCTCCTGTCTTTTGTTTGTGAAAAATAAATCAGGCGACTTAAGATCTCATATGTGTTAGGTCACTAATTTCACCCCCTTCATTAATAGCTAGCTAATGCCTATGCCCAGCAGCTTAGCTGTGGGTCAGAACAGTGTCAGTGTCAGCAAAGTACCTGGGATGTTCTGGGGACAGAAGCAAAAAGCTTGCAGGGAGCTCTGGATATCTTGGATGTGCCTTTTAATTACTGCCGAGTTCACATAAAGTTTTTAGGGTCTCATGTAAGCTTTCAAGATCTAAGCTGTGGCTGCTGCCAGCTAACTTCTCCCTCAAAATGAAATTGTACCTGAAAATTAGATGATTCAGCTAGCTGTATTCCTCATTTTTTGAGTAAGAACTTCTGTGCTCATCTACACAGCATTTTAAAAGTGCTGATGGCAGTTGTTTGTTCCACCACAAGGAATAGTTAATGTTTGGCTTTAGTGTTCAAAACACTGGCTTAAGGGCTCTGGTAGTTTTATTTTACATCTCTGTTAAGTAATCAGTATGCCGTAGTAACACTGCTGGAGCAAAATAGATGAATTAAAACTTGAAACCATGGGAAATAGTGAGGTAAAATCTTGTCTCAATTTTTCCGCGGGGTGCTGGATATCTCAAGTACTAAAATCTCGTTGTGTGAGTACAGATGTAAATGTTTTAAATGCTCTCTCCCGTTGTAGTTGCTGTAAATGCTCTGAACTGCTAGTGGTATGTGCATTATCAGCTGCGGATACAGGCGGGCTGAAATTCTGCTGGTTTTGGAGGTGTTGCATTCCATACTTGTTATTCCCTGCGAAAGTTGCGGAGTCTGTTTTCACTTAGCTCCACCAACGTTTGCCAGAATAGCTTGTCTGTTGAAATGCTTCAAATACAACTGTAAACCATTCAGAAGATCTCCTTTCCTCTTGGCTTTAGCTGAGTAATATTTGTTGCTTGAGCGGTAGCAATAGGGAGCCTGTAAAAGCGTCAGCTTTGGTGGCAATCTTTATTTTCAGCGTCAGAGGATGAAAAACAACTTAGAATCTGTCAAGAACAGCTGTTGTGTGGGCCCAGCAGTACAATGGGATACACTGGCTTTATTGCAAAGACTTTGCTTGAAACTGAGATGGAAAATCAGTTTGTGATCTCCATTTTATCCTGTAGAAGGATGGAGGAGTATTAGTGCCCTTTATCCAGGAGGTGCAGTGCTTGGAGTACCTCTGAGGCAGCACTGCTTGAGTAGAGGCACATTTGCAGAACAGCAGGAATCGGTGCTGTAGTTATACAGAGTTTGTGCCTTTGCCAGATAATAAAGGGGAGGGGGAGAGCCTGTAAATGCTGGTAGTGTGGGGAGAGCTTAGTTTATGGTGTATTTTTCATGAGGGTATCCACTCAGAATAGCAATCTTCTGGATGTACTGACTGGCAAGAGCTTCAGTTACGGCTTGTGCCTTCTCGCTTGCCAGCAATTACACACTGGGGGAGATTCTACTTATGGTCTGAAATGGAAGGTAAAGCTTCAGTCACAGCACAGGCGTGGAGATGTGTCAGGCAGCAAATGCTCTGTAAATGCTGGCCAGGTACCCTGCAGGCCTGACGGGACTTGAGGGAGCACACATGGTCGATGGCGTGGGACAACAAGCTTCTCTAACAGGCTGCGTCCTTCATCCCACGTGTTTTGGTGGTGGTGGTTGCAGAACTGATAAGGGAGCTGGCTGCTTGGGGAGCAGTTCCCTCTTACCTGAGTGCATTCGGCAGGGTTTGGAAGAGGTTTTGTGATCTGGTAAAGGATTTGAACCTGGTCTGCTCGGTCTCAACTAAGACCACAGGCTTCGTGTTCTCTGCGCTCATCTTTCTGCGCTGTTGGAAGAAAAGGGGCTGCAAGGATGTGGTTGCAGCTGATTTGGGGGAGGCTGTTTAGTGAAAGAGCAAGGAAAGCCTTCGGTTTTGTGATAATTGAGAGGTTTTACACCTGTTTTGTAATTTTAAAATCTGCTTATTAAACTGTACATTCTGTTAGTAGTAACTAGCATGAGACATACCCTAGCATTGCAACTTTTCTGTTCAGTTTGCTCTCTGCTTTTTTAAAACTGGCATCTGTCCCTTGTCTTGAAAACTGCAGAGCAGTGAGAACACACATTACTGGTTAGCTCACCGTGGGAGGGAACTGAGTCTAGCTGAAACCTGAAGTGACTCTACTGATTTTTAAATTTTATTTAAAACATAATTTCCTAACAGGAGTGACATCCCGAATACGCATTCCATGGCATAATACATTCTAAAGCAATTTTAGCATCTATTACAGAAGAAAATCTTAGCTTCTGTTGTATGGCTAGGTTACATATAGGGAGATGTATTTGTAGCTAAGGGTACAAATTACGTAAAATTTGAGAGGGATTAAGAGAGTTTAATGAGACTTGTGCAGCAAGGATTAGAATGATGAAAATTAAAGGTGTGTGCAGAATGGATAGCTGTCTTCAGCTTACATCTTCGAGGCTTTGAGGAAATCCTTTCCATTTAATTCTTTCTCTTAAATACTTTTATCTGATACGGATAAATGTTAAAGGTCTTCATTTTCTTGCTATGAAGTCCTTGGTTAAAATCTCATTCTGTGTTTACCCCATTGCTGTATTGTACTTAATCCAACACTCAATGTTACTTTTTATTGTGCTGAGCTCAGCAGCTATATCTGAGTAATAGCAAATAAACTGTAAATAAATAGACAATCAAGATCACTGGAATTTTTCAAATGGAAGGTTACACTATTGTTACTATATAAATACTGTTCTTATTAATTTGCATAGATATAATGAATGTATGCATAGCTTTAAACCCTGTATTAAAATTTATTGAGTAGAGCTTAGACAACACTATGCAATTAATCTTCTCTGCTTTGCTGGAAATCACACAGGCCTGTCTGAAAAGCTTATTGGCCCACTTCCCCATCTGTCCTCTCAGTTTCTACAACCTCCCTCCCATTTCCTCCCAAATCTACCATGTGAGGGTTTTTTTTCTCATTTTTTTTTTTCCCCCCTTCAGTTCTTACCTTGCTTTTGTCAAAATGACTGTTAATGGTAACAAATTAATTTTTATTGTACAGTGGGTATTCGGATTTGCTTATATAGGCTTATGGTATAAGGTAATTATAGTATAAGATAGTTGCATCGAGACAGGGTTTGCTTTTTTTTTTTTCATCCTCTTAGTTAGGTTATTTAATGCTGAATTTCCTTCCATTTCTAGTGCAGATTGATTCCCTTCTAGCCTAGTGGCTTTTGCCAACACACAGCACAGTTTGACAGGGTTGATTTCCCATACAGTTTGTATGCACATGCAATATGGTTAACACATGGCTCCTAATTGGGTGTACTCGAAAACTGGTGGTCTTGTTTTGTAGTAGGTTTTTTTGCAGTTCTACGTTTTTGATAGTCAGACTGTAAGCGAATTTGAATACTTTGATACTCTGCTGTGCAAACCAGACTTTATAACTACATCTGTTGTTTGGGTTAGACAATTGATCTCTGTGTACGATTTTCTTTATAGAAGAATGTATTGAAGTGCTGTCAGTCAAGTGGCTGTCAATGTATTGTACTGGACTTCAGCGGTGAAGGTGCTTTTGGAACAGCTCTCCAGGCTTTTCCAAGGGCTCTGCTACTCCAGACACTGTTGAGAAATACAGTGGCTTTTGTACAGGCCCTGCTTTTGATACTTGGTTGAGAGAATGTCTTGCCTAGCAGGAAGAGGGAGCTATGTGCTGGGAAACAAATAGTGCTGTCTGTAACTTTAGTTTTCTGACCAGTGTAATAAAAGATGGAAAAGGTAGTGATGATGCTGTTCCAGAGAGCCCTTTGTCCCTCCCTCTTTTGGAGGGCAACAACATGCTTAAAGTCTTACAAGGACCTGATGTATGGAGGTGTTTTTCTTGCATATCTTCAGCTTGGCCTTGAACTTGGAGATCTTCTTTTCACTATCCTGATAAATCGCTCTCATGAAGTAAAAGGGTTAAACTTCCAGAAGTACCTGCATCAAAACAATAGCTGGTTATGTGGATACTTTTATTGCCCTGTTCCTTTTTGTTCTGTGAACTTTTGCATACACTGGAGGAAGCTGTATGGTCCTTGTCCCCTTTTACCCTCAGTCTGTTCAACACATCAGGAAGGGTTATTACTGTATTAAAGCCACAGAACTCAATACTGAGGATATTGTTGCTGCTGAGCAGATTGCTATAATGTCATCACGATGGCACCTTGAATGCTGGACTGGAAAAACTTTGGATGAAGGTCTAACTTGATTGGAGCCTCAGGAAAACAGATGACTTCGTATGTCACCTGGAGATGAGGACAATATTGTTTGTTCTGCCTATGTAGAAACATTTAAAAGGATCTGCAGGAATTTAAAAGGATTTATGAGGATCTGTTTCTAGAGTGACATCAGTAGCTATATAAGCAGCACATCAGCAAGAGGAATCAACCTGAGGTAATGCAAGGTGAAATGCTTCTGCAGAGAGAGTAGTGTGTTACAGGACTATTGTTTTCTAGCAAATTGCTTAGGAATAGCTTACATGAGAGCCTCTTTGT